GAAGACTTGAAGGTCTTACCATTTGCAGATGTAATTACAAAGGCAGCACCTTCTCCTCAGTTATTTTAAGACCCCGAGTGTTGGTCCGGCCAACATTATGGGAATTTGAGTAATTGTGTTGGCCATGAATGGTGTTCGTCTCAGTTCATTGACCAAGTATCAGAAAATGAATCAGAAAATGTATCAGAAACAAAGAAATCAACACAAAAACATACATGGGAAATATGATTTATCGTAAACAAAAAATATATAATTTCGTAAAATCGTTAACACATACCAACAAACTTATCTCTCTCTCAGTTGTCTTTGGCCGTGAGAAACGTTTGATGTCAAGTGTAAGCCAAGACACCACAACTAAATACATATAGGTGAGCGCAGCGAACGAGTGGGATATCTTTTCAACACTCGAAGATAAAATTCATATCTCCAAGCGCCCATGTAATGTTCTGCTTATTATATAACATAAAACCTGTGAAAAAAAAAAAAAAAAAATACTGAAAGCTGATTGGTCAAGAGTTATATCACACGTGTGACATAAATGATATCTTTATGACTGGGAGAAGCTTTTTATCACTTTGATACCACTCGATATACCACTATATRTTATATAATAAACTGAGATAGCCAACTGTATTTGTATACATCCTGTGAACTTGGCCTCGCAGCAACACTACATCAGAACCTTGGTATACTTGCCAAAAAAACAGAGTCATTCAGTGAAATAAATATTGGAATTAGCTGATTCGAGGACCTCATGCGGTATCCGAGTTGAGACAATCAGACTTCAGCTACTGTGAAATGATTACGCAAATAGAATGACATTCGTTGGAATTTTTAAGGCGGCGTTGTCTTATTTTTGATCATTCCTTTATCGTAATCGTAATATCTCGAAATATTAAGGTATTTTTTCGTTAATTAAAGTTCCAGGAGTGATTTCTCTCAAACAAGAGGCCTCATGCTTACGCTTTCGACACCAGATCGAAATGAAATTCAGAATTTTTTTATGGAAAACTAGAAAACCTTGGTATATGTACCAATTGGTGGAAAATAGGTGCATGACAAGTCTATATTTTCCCCCACCGCGAGCAAAAGGTGGCTGGGTTATCTGTGTGTCATGAAACAACTCAGTGAAGAAACACCAACTCATACCAGACCAGTGTCTTTATCGTGACCTCACCTACCGTGGACTTTGCAACATCACGTCGGATTAGGAAACACGAAAGACAACTGACAAAATAAGTGTTAGTCCGTTTTTGGCCTACAGTATGGCCAGTTAGTTTACCGCGGCGGCAACAGTGACCTTCGATCATCCAAAGCCATCAGAGGAGCATATAATAATAATATTAATATATACATTTTTATACACGCATCTCAAAATCTCGATGCGTTTACAATTCGTAAAATAGAGTAAAATATGTATAGAATATCAAAATATATAAATGATAATAATAATGTTTAAAATACATTAAGTTATCATGAATTATATGCTAAATCAAAGAAAAATGTTTTGAGTTTAGTTTTAAATGTTTCAACTGATGGAGAAGTTCTAATGTTATCAGGTATAGAGTTCCAGRGTTYAGCAGYTGYGTACSAGTAGRCCYGCTGGCCATAGGTGRCGRTATTGRTCTTGGGAASHTTAAGKAGTAATTTGTTAGAAGATCTAAGAGATCGTGTAGGTCTGCGGACATCTATAAGTTTAGAGAAGTAGTTAGGAGCCAAACCGTTTACAGATTTATACACGAGTAGTAGAATCTTGAACTATATAATCTTGAGCATATCGAGGTCATCTCACCAAAGACCTAAAAGAAGGCCAAGCAAGAATCATGGAGGAAGATCCAGCYGATCCCGGGGAACTGATTGCGCTTCAAGATCGTCTACACAGRCGAAGCKTAGAAGTGAMGGAGCTGGAMAACGCGATCATCAAAGCCTTCAGCGCTCCAGCAGACATCGRACARGWAGCCCAATATTTACAACACAATGCATCTTATTTATTTATTTGGGAATAGTGCAATGTTCACCGCACAATCAATAATCATCTCTCATACTGACTGTAGTCAGCCTGTTTTACTTGTCTGACCCGTCTGACTACCAAAGGGCGGTTTATGGCTTACGGTTTACGGTTTATACGGCAAAAATGTACAATTCTATATGCGAGCTCATGCAACTAGGGTTCACACTTTCAACACCAGATCGAAATGAAAGTTTTCTTTTAATTACAAACATACTTCTATAACACGGACATCTCTCTATTTCAAACACTTTCTTTGGTCCTGGCTGCACTTATTCATTTACAAACATACTTCTATGACACGTACATCTCTCTATTTCAAACACTTTCTTTGGTCCTGGCTGCACTTATTCATTTACAAACAGACCTCTATAACACGGACACCTCTATTACGAACACTTTCTTTGGTCCTGGGTGCACTTATTTACTTACAAACAGACCTCTATAATACGGACACCTCTCTATTACGAACACTTTCTTTGGTCCTGTCTGCACTTATTCACTTACAAACAGACCTCTATAATACGGACACCTCAAACAGATCTCTAGAACACGGACACCCCTCTATTACGAAGACTTTCTTTGGTCCTGGCTGCACTTATTCACTTACAAACAGACCTCTATAATACGGACAAATCAAACAGATCTCTAGAACCCGGACACTACCTCTCTATTACGAACACTTTCTTTGATCCTGGCTGCACTTATTCACTTACAAACAGACCTCTATAATACGGACAAATCAAACAGATCTCTAGAACCCGGACACTACCTCTCTATTACGAACACTTTCTTTGATCCTGGCTGCACTTATTTACTCAATAAACAGATCTCTAGAACACGGACACTACCTCTCTATTACGAACACTTTCTTTGGTCCTGGCTGCACTTATACACTAGAACCCGGACACTACCTCTCTATTACGAACACTTTCTTTGGTCCTGTCTGCACTTATTTACTCAATAAACAGATCTCTTGAACACGGACACTACCTCTCTATTACGAACACTTTCTTTGGTCCTGNATTTACTCAATAAACAGATCTCTTGAACACGGACACTACCTCTCTATTACGAACACTTTCTTTGGTCCTGGCTGCACTTATTTACTCAATAAACAGATCTCTAGAACACGGACACTACCTCTCTATTTCGAACACTTTCTTTGGTCCTGGCTGCACTTATTCACTTACAAACATACCTCTAGAACACGGACACCTCTCTAATACGAACACTTTCTTTAGTCCTGGCTGCACTTACTTACTTACAAACAGAAATCACTTGTTGTCTTTTATATCAGGTGCTCATGCACCTGAAGTTTAGAAAACTCGATTGTAATGAAGCCTAGAGACAAAATCAATCWATGGCTTTGGTTATCATAAACTTACTGCTCATTAGATGTGTGAGTGTAGTTATTACTTGGGCATGAGTTGAACAGGTGTGGTGTGACCTTAACTTCTTTTACCTAACTAGCATTTACCTTGACTTGACAAAGAATTTCTCATGCACAGTTCTTCTTTTTTTCTGCCAAAGCAGTGATCTGCATTTGAAGCTATTTATTGGTTGAAACTAATTGAAGAATCAAATTTTTGATATATTGTCTTTTCTCAGATACTGAAGAAGCATTGACAGTGTCTGTTAAAGGGGTTGATGTTAGGCCAAGGTATTCCTTGCATAGATGTTCTGTGATRCTAATCACATACAAGCCACAGTCACATCCTGTATTAAGATATTGGAAACTGATTGAGTAATAGGCCTTTTGCAGCTAGAGATCACGTGCTTGGATACCGCATAGCAACGCCATACTGGAGAGCAAGCTCTCCAGTAAACAACAGAGATCTAAAGGTCATACAAGCGTGCTTTCAAACGAAGAATTATAGTTAATACAAGCCCAAGAGCATTCCGTTTCTAGATATTCAGTTAATACAACTCGAGTGGACTGATGGATGAATGGGATGGGATAGAATGGACAGGTAAGATAAAATGCAATGGGTGTATGGATGGAAGGGTAAATAGAGGAGGAAGGAGAGAGATGTATGGATAGATAGATGGAAGGATAAATGGATGGGATGTATGGGATGAGATGGAAGGATGATGGAATGGGTGGGATGAGATGAGATGAGATGGAATGGAATGAGTGGATAGATGATTGGTTGGAAAAATAGATGAAGGAGTGAATGAACAAAGGAAGGAAGGAATCATTCTTGGTGACCGTAACACCATTCACACCATGTGATRGCTTGCATCAAAAAGTTGAATAATTATTAGCTTTATGACAATGCTTTTTACCATTTTGTTGTTGAGGGCATTTTCCATTGACAAAAGATGGAACATCAACTGCTGAACAAAAATTGAAATATAAGAGTTATGCACTTCAAACTTTGTCAGTACTCATTTGAAACTAGCTAACTTGTCCTGTTTCTCCATAATAAAGCAGGTAAACCCATGGAGTAGTTATAATATGGCTCAGAAATTGTAGCAACTTGAAGCAGACTAAAAAAAATAAATCCCTCAACTTATTAACCATGCCAAGGTTAAGGGAAAAACTGGGTTAGGTTGACAATGAAGGGCAATGCAAGACTGTTCTATAAAACACATTTYMAAGATGGCRTCTATTTCATCTCCTCAAACATTCCCACAATGCACAGCAATGCAAAATCTACCAGTTTTTTCTTCAACTGCAGAATGGCTAATGCACAACAGCCTATAAATTGACTAGTTTGTTGCTATAAATTGACTAAATATTGTATTGCATTGTGGCTGGCATGGTTGGTATAGTAGGTTACTTTTTGCCTCTCACCACAGTGGCCAAGGTTTGAGCCCTGGCTCGGACTGGATAATAAGTGAGTTGAGTTTGTTTGATGTGTTGTTCTCTCCCTTGCCACAAGGTTTTTTTTCCAGGTTCTCTGGTTTTCCTCCCTCCGTAATAATCAACATATGAGTTGAGTGTTGTATGTTGTAAATATAGAATGCAGTGGTAGTGCATGTGGAGTGCACATCTCAGAAGAGCCCCATACATGGGGAGTGAGGAATACAAAATATATTATTTATATATATTGTAAGGAACATATATCATGATGGCAGTTAATTACCACTTAAATAAGGCTGAATATTCTTAGCAATGCTCTTGGCTGCATCATTGTTGTTGCCATGGAATGAATCATAATGGATAAATGAATTCCTGTCTCTGTTATAACACAACAGACTCCTTCAAATGAAAATAGACATGATTAGTGTATTACTCAGTAGCATCATTTGATTCCCTAATATATATGAGGATCTTGATTAACAGGTGGAATTACTAGAATCTATAGCATTTAACCAAGGRAGCAWGGSAAAAATAAATTTGTYGATTGGTCTTCCTGTGGTGAATAATTTAATTGATTGGTCTTCCTGTCATATGGATGTGCACATACGGTTTCCTAAAAGTCGTGGGGACTAACAAGTAAACAAATATGGCAGATACAAATAAATTTATGTACAGYGCCATCTTTGATATTTACTTGAGCTCATGCTATTTTTTGCGGAAAACCTTATTTGTCAACCTATGTCATTACCACAGGAAGACCAATCAACAACGTTATGTCTACCGTGCTCCCTCAATTTAACTACTCATAAGCTTACCAATGTGAACCACCAGTTGAGGTTTTTGATTCATGGTCATTGATTACAAAGAATAATAGCTTGTGTTTTGGTAAATTTAGTGGGTCCAAGAAAATCCCAACTTCTGGACCTGAAATCATCAATTAATATTGTCATCATATACTGCTAAGAACAGGCATGTGAATATTCATTTGAAGTCATAAATTGTTTGAAGTCACATACAGTCAACTTTCATTACAGCAGACACCCAAGGGACTGTCACTTGATGTCCGCAATAGTGGAATTACTTACAGTCATTAATTCTTTGTCAATGTTATTGTCCGGGATTTTTCTCCTGTTTGTGGTAGCAAGGTGTCTGTAATATTGGGGTGTCCACAAGGCAAGAGTTAACTGTAGTTTGGTGTTGTGTTGTGTAGTCTAGAGCAGAGAAGTAGTGTGGTATGGTATGACATACCTGTGTGTTGTATAGTGTGGTGTTATGTGATATAGTATAGCAAATATAGTTGATTAAAGTGTAGTGTAAAGTGTTGTGGCATGGTGTGACATAGTGCAGTGTTGTGCAGTGTAGAGTTGCATAGTATTAAGTGTATTGTGGTTTAGGGTATTGTGGTGTAGTATAGTCCAGTACAGCTTAGTATGGTTTAATGTAGTGTAGTGCAGTGTAATACATTGTAATGTGGTGTTTTGTGATGGGTGATGTGTTTGGTGATGTGTTTGGTGCAGTGCAATGGAATATGGTTCGACCCAGTGTGGTGCAGTGTAGTATGATATGACGTGGGTGGCACAACAAGTTGTGTAGTGTAGTGTAGTGTAGTGTAGTGTGGTGTGGTGTGGTGTGGTGTGGTGTGGTGTAGTGTAGTGTGGTGGTGCAATGCGATGCAGTGTCATGTGGTGCAGTGTAGTATGATATGGTTAGGGATGATATACCATAATGATGTACATGTAGCATTAGAGTATGATGGGGTGTAGTGCAGCATAATACAGCACTTGTACATGTAGTGTGGTGGTGTGATGCATTGCAGTGTTGTGTGGTGCAGTGTAGTATGATATGGTGTTGGTGGCACAACAAGCTGTGTAATGTAGTGTGGCGTAGTGTGGTGTGGTATGGTGTGGTGTGGTATGGTGTGGTATGGTGTGGTGTGGTATGGTGTGGTGTGGTGTGATGTAGTGTCAGTTTGTATTGTCATATGCACAAACGATATGAATAGAAATTAGTGTAATTTTCCTTATCAGTTTATTATAAATATTTATTATACATTAATATTATATTTAAAATTCTCTATATTGTCACCAAACG